TGCGTATCAATGCGTCCTATCAGGCGATTCTAAATAAAATAAATACTATTGCTCTATTTGTATTGGGATTTCATCGAACTGGACATTGTTGACGTTACCACGTCTGTACAGGTGCACGAAACGAGAGATGTAGGTAGTTTCAAACTTTTTGGAAGAATATATTTTTCTCAATCTAGCCGACATCATCTGTATTCTTTTTCTTTTTCTCTCCATTGCCTTTTTCTTTGACTAACTCACACTTTGACAATATTAAATCTACCAAGAATGGTGATATATTGTAAGAACCTAGACACAAATTTATTGTGGCGGAACTAGCGATCAAGGCACTTTCCAGACAATTTGGTGTCAGTGGATTATTTTCTCTTTTAATCAAAGTAGCATACCCTATGTTAAAATTGTGGTCAGTTTTGTTTATATATATATATATATATATATATATATATATATATATATATATATTAGTTGCAGTATAAACCACAGGTTGGCTCTGTTGTTGTTGAACAAATAAAATGTGCCTGAGCGAACGTCTGTAATAGGGATTGGCTATCAGCCCTAATAGACAGGTATCATATATGTGTGTGTGTGTGTATATATATATATGTATGTATATATATATATATATATATATATATATATATGCTTAGGAGTGCACATATATGCTAGAGACTAAAAGTTTTGAGCCATCCTTCAACTGATGCTAGAGTACCTTTTTGAAAACTAATTTATTACCTCACTTCGGCTAAGAGGATCTTTTTCTTTCTGAAGGTTTCATCCTATATTCAATAACAATAATAATGATGATGAAATTAAACCAATTAATGCATAAGGTTTTCTTATAAACATGGTTCTTTTTGCTCAGTCTAACTTTACTGGCTAACGGTGATCTTAGAAATGGCGGATTTAAAATTTTAGCTAACGCGCCTTTCAAAAATTGAATGCCATATGCTCAAGATTTAAATAGTTTTGGCATTCTTGGTTCTTTACCCTTAGTGTTTGCCTATATATAATTCAATTTCAACTGACAATCTGTGTTTTTTGTGTTTTATTATGTTTATTATTCCAATTTTCAAATTGGATGTTATACATTGTGTTGGGGCGCACCCACCTTCTCATCGGAATGGACTGATCTCTCTACTATTAATAGGACAGTTCTATAGAGTTCTGGGAGATCAGGTGACCATCACACTTCCGTCTCTCTACAGGAAGATACAGTTTGGACTTTATACTCTTTCTGATTGTTACTGACTAACCTGCGTTCGTTTGACTACTAATCTCTCTGTTGTAAATACCTCTTCAGATATACCAGTATTTTCCCTACGTATGTGTTTGTCCTTATTTCAATATACGCACAGGGAAACACTCCCAACATCTCAACACATTGATCCCGGTGGACAAAACATTTGGAAGAAGAAATACTCAAGTTCTTTACTTTTAGTGCGTGCTTACACACACGCGCGCACACACATATATATATATATATATTATATATATATATATATATATATATATATTGAGACATATCTATGGCATTAATTGTGAGTGCGTCACTGATGAACTGAAATAGCCAGATGTAAAAGATAGTGGATTAGTGCTCACACTTATGGTTGATAATGATAAGCCTTGGCATTGTATAGTTTTGTTGATACAATGCGTATTTAAATTTGAGATTTTGGACTCTGTAAACTGATTCTCAGCTTAATTCGTCATGTCCCCCCACCCGTGCTGTATCACTGTTTCTTCAGTGACCGTCATACCATTTAAGATACTGGCGCTTTGCACACGGTGTTTAAAAAATTGATTTCCCATCCTTGTGTAATGGTTGCCAGTGGAAGGAGCAAGACATTTTTTTTCAGGCTGAGGACAGTCGTTTATTAAAAAAGAACACACAAACCTCTTTGGACTGAAAGTGTGTTTGTCAATAGCGACAATTGAAAGGATATTGGTCGAGGTGAATGTCGATCAATACGTGTTTTACCGCTCATTCCCCGGGTGCGTGATGCAAAGAATGATTCGACAAATATATTGACGGTGAGGTTCTGTTTCAGAACACAAGAAAAAGGTCGGAAGAAGAAAAAAAATTAAGGTAATCACTGTGTAATATTACAGAATCTACCTTCTAGAATATTTATGCTGTTTTCAATAAAGTGGTGTTCTACAGGAAGTAACGAGAGGTAGGCCTTAAAAACATACATATACGCATGCTCGGAGAGAAAAAAAAAAGATGGAGAAAAACCAAAGAATAGCAGCATAGATTTCTAACGTTGGAACGAAGAGATTGCGAACGAATACAGGAATAAAAGAATATTTATGTGTGTATGAGCATGAACATAAACGACAATATATATATATATATATATATATATATATATATATATATATATATATATGTGTGTGTGTGTGTGTGTGTGAAAAGTACATATATAAATATGAATAAATATATATATGTATAATTATTTATATATTATATGCGCGGTACTTATTAGAAAGCGCTCAATATCAGAGATAGAGTTAACATATTTGGTTGGATAGATGTGAATTTGTGACCCTGGGTTTCACGCTTTAGCGATCGTCAGACAAACTGATTAATTTTTTAAAAAATTTGGGTTTATGTAGATTGCGTGTATTAGTGTTATTGTGGAAGTGGTGGGGGAAACTTTGTCGTTTATGTCAGCGTACTAACGCAAACATCGATGTATGCAGACACATATACATACTTGGTCGTCCGTCGGGACTCAAACATATATAAACATATGTGGGCAGTTTCGGATATGACATATGTATGTATACGGGTGGTGTTGTGTCTATACATACTCATTTGTATGTTGAAATTTAAAGATTGAAACTCACATCTATCCAACCATTAGACATGAGTTAACGGTTTTCTGTCGTCATCATCAAATCTATGGTTTGAATGATTAGCTAAAAACAAGCATACAATATAATAACTTTTATAATCCATAGCCAAAATAAATAGTTTAATTACCATACAAAAGGAAAACCCTTTATTAAGTCGTCAAAAAACAAAAGTTACGGCAGTTTTTATATGCACAAATCCCTTTCATAAAGAAATAAAATAAAAAATTAATAAATCTCCGTAGACACGTAAGCCAGACTAGGCTAAAACATCTTCCGTTTCAAATTTAGGCACCACCATCTTACCCTGACTTGACATCTATGAAAGTAACTCTATACTGATACTTATTATTAACACCCAACACACGCCTACCCAATTTAAACAATTCGCCCTAGCTGTTACCATGGAAATTTTGATTTCAATTATTAAAACACGTAACTTTCTGAAATAAGTTATTCCAAAAAAAATTTCGCTTGAAGATGGAACAGAGCTTTCTTTCACTCAATTTAATTCAAATAATTATATTGAAGTTTTCGGCTCTTGTTTTGAAACATGAGACCTCTTATGTCGCGAGTTGGAATCATATTTTTAAATAATTATATTTACGCTCTACATTTGTATCGAGTACTATTTAAAAAAAAAATAATAACTAAAATACTAAGGAATTTTGGATCTACCTAACCAGTTCTTTCCTATTTTCTATATATTTTCACACACACACACACACATATATATATATATATATGACATATATATATGTGTGTGTGACATACATATATATGTGTGTGTGTGTGACATACATATATATATATATATATATATATATATATATATATATGTATGTATGTATGTATATGTGATATATATATTTTCACATTTCATATATATTTCAGATGAAGACTGCGTTGATGTGCACTTGTGGTATAATATATATATTTATTAATATATACTTAATAGCTATGTTTTATTACATCGAGACACTGTTTTTATTAACCATATATATATATATATATATATATATATATATATATATATATATATATATATATAATATAATTCTATGTGTGTGTTTTTGTATATATTTTTGTATGAAAATACATGCGTGCATATGACTATAGATACACGTAAACCCTTTTGTACATACATTTCCGTCATACAGACATGTCGATAAATAGATATCTACAAATCTTTGTCTGGTACAAGACCAAAATAATTTAATTTATGAGGGAGATACAATATAAGATTGTATCTTAAATGTAGCCTCATCTACGTACATTGCACACACACACACACATATATATATAACATTGAAGTCAACACTCAGCGGCGGCAGACTTTCATGTTAAACATAATCGTCAAGCCACATTGGTTTCGCATGAAACACTCTGCCGCTGCTAAGTGTTGACTATATTTACATGAATATTTAATTGTTGAATTATGTACATGTAACAAACTAACAGAGAAATGTCTATCTAAATATATATCTATCCATCTGTCTATGTACATATATCTAACTATATCTATGTACTTATCTAAGTTAAATTTTAATTGTACTTAATTCGACAGTTAACTATACAAAATTTAGATAAAGTTTGCGAACTGGTTGTATGGAGTGCTAAAAACAAGGCACGTTATATATAGCTGACATTGTACGTAGAGAACGCTACAGCTTAAATACATACTGGTATTGTGTTACTTTCAAGTGCAGTAAAGATTTTTGTTTCATGGTGTAAAGAAACAGCAGATTGTTATGTGCACAAAGACTTGAGTTAGACGTTTTAGTATCATGCCATGAAAAAAAAAAACATGGGACATGTTTTGGAAAAACAAGAAAATGTAGCTGCATAAAGTGTGCAACTTATATACTGTATTCAAATGAAAATTATTGTTGAATATAAAATGAACATCTGTTTTTAAGTTTACCAAATACAAGGATGAAGAGCAATTCAAAGTAGATGGCTTCAGTTAAAATTGTTATGATGAAAGGAAATGAATGTGGTAGGAATTGAAAAAAAAGATGTGAAAGCAAAGGTGGCAAAAAGAGACAACAAAAAACTGACAAGGTAAGAAAAACGTGAAAAGATGAAGTGAAAAGGTGAAAAGCTGAAAAGAAAAGGTAAAAGGGGTAAAGAGAATGAGAATAAAATTAAAGGCGAAGTTGTGAAGTGAAAGGGAATGGAGGAAGGGAAAATGAAGTGAAAGAGAAAGTAGCAAGAATTGAAAATAATATATGTAGAGAATTTGGCAAGAAGCGAAAAATTGTCGACAGAGAAGGTGGCAAGCATTGAAAAAGTGTCGACAAAGAAGGTGGCAAGAAGCAAAAAATTGTCGACAGAAAATGTGGCAAGAAGCAAAAAATTATCGACATTTGAAAATAATATATGTAGAGAATTTGGCAAGAATTGAAAAAGTGTTGACAGAGAATGTGGCCAGAATTGAAAAAAGTGTCGACAGAGAATGTGGCCAGAATTGAAAAAAGTGTCGACAGAGAATGTGGCCAGAATTGAAAAAAGTGTCGACAAGAGAATGTGGCCAGAATTGAAAAAAGTGTCGAGAGAGAATGTGGCACGAATTGAAAAAAGTGTCGACAGAGAATGTGGCCAGAATTGAAAAAAGTGTCGACAGAGAATGTGGCAAGAATTGAAAAAAGTGTCGACAGAGAATGTGGCAAGAATTGAAAAAGCGCCGACAGAGAAAGTAGCAAAAATTGAGAAAGTGTCGACAGAGAAGGTGGCAAGAATTGAGAAAGTGTCGACAGAGACGGTGGCAAGAATTGAAAAGGTGTCGACGGAGAAGGTGGCAAGAATTGAAAAGGTGTCGACGGAGAAGGTGGCAATAATTTAAAAAGTGTCGACAGAGAAGATGGCAAGAATTGAAAAAGTATCGACAGAGACGATGGCAAGAACTGAGAAAGCGTTGACAGAGGTGACAAAAATTGAAAAAGTGTCGCCTGAGAAGGTGGCAAGATTTGAAAAGATATCGACAGAGAAGATGGTAAGAATTGAAGATCATTGACAGAGAGTATGGCAAAAATTGAAAAACATTGACAGAGACGGTGTCAAGAACAGAAATAGAAACGAAAGAGAAGATGGAAAGAATTGCAAAAGATGCAAAGAGAAGGTGCACAAATGAAAAAGGAATCAAAAAAGAAGTAGCAGCTGTTTTGCGTCGGGCATCTATGGATCGGGTAGAGCACCTATTCGCTGAATGGTGGCGGCATGAGAAGCCAATATGAGGAAGTGAGAGGAAGCCAACCCTAGCCCGGTTTTTGGAGGTTGGTCCCCATAAACAACCATAGAGATATCTGAGAAGCAAGAAAGAAGACTGAGAGAGCAGTTGTTGATGCAGAGACGCGCTTCCTTTATGCCATGTTATTTGCTGCCACGAAGAACTCTTGATTCATGCCTTGTTCCACACTATTAGCGAAATTGAGCAGAGTACCATGATGAAATTGAAAAGTATTAAAAGTCTCTATAGAAAGAGAGAGAGAGAAGAATTCCGTAATTTCATACTTGGAATCGAAGTTTCAAAGGTTAATTCAGAGAATTCTTCGACTTGGAAACGAAAAACAACGTGTCACAAAATTAGACTACGATGGAATGGTCTTTAGCTTACGTGCTTGTTGATTCTTATACGAGAACGTTTTACTGTGTATACCTCAGTTATATAAAACTTGTTGATTGACACAACTTGTTTTCTATCTTATAACATCTTTCCGCTTGAACCACGTCGATCCACCGATATCTGGCGACAATTCGATCCTTTCTTGACTGGTGATCAAAACAAACATAACGTGGTTTGGGAAGAAACATCGAAGTGACCAACTTCGCGGTTTCCCATGGGATTCGATCGCGGACAGACCGGTGATCGAGGACGGAACGGCGTTGGCATTTGGGGCTTCCTAGCCCCTGCGGCTAGGAAGCCCCGAATCTTTATGGTCGAAAGAGAAGTTGGCAAGAATTGAAAAAGTATCCACGAGAAAGTGGTAAATATTGAAAAGGAAGTAAAAACAGGTGGCAACAGTTAAAAATAAGCAGGGAGAAGGCGACAAGAATTGAAAAAGAAGCAAAGTGAAGGTGGCTAAAAGTTAAAAATAAGCAAAGTGAATGTGGCAATAATTGAAAAAGAAGCAAAGTGAAGGTGGCAATAATTGAAAAAGAAGCAAAATGAAGGTGGCAAGAATTGAAAAAGAAGCAAAGTGAAGGTGGCTAAAAGTTAAAAATAAGCAAAGTGAAGGTGGCAAGAATTGAAAAAGAAGCAAAGTGAAGGTGGCAATAATTGAAAAAGAAGCAAAATGAATGTGGCAAGAATGGAAAAAGAAGCAAAGTGAAGGTGGCAATAATTGAAAAAGAAGCAAAATGAAGGTGGCAAGAATTGAAAAAGAAGCAAAGTGAAGGTGGCAAGAATTGAAAAAGAAGCAAAGTGAATGTGGCAAGAATTGAAAAAGAAGCAAAGTGAATGTAGCAAGAATTGAAAAAAGCAAAGTGACGGTGGCAAAAAGTTAAAAAGAAGCAAAGTGAAGGGGACAAGAATTGAAAAAGAAGCAAAGTGAAGGTGGCTAAAAGTTAAAAATAAGCAAAGTGAATGTGGCAAGAATTGAAAAAGAAGCAAAGTGAAGGTGGCAATAATTGAAAAAGAAGCAAAATGAAGGTGGCAAGAATTGAAAAAGAAGCAAAGTGAAGGTGGCAAGAATTGAAAAAGAAGCAAAGTGAAGGTGGCAATAATTGAAAAAGAAGCAAAATGAAGGTGGCAAGAATTGAAAAAGAAGCAAATTGAAGGTGGCAAGAATTGAAAAAGAAGCAAAGTGAATGTGGCAAGAATTGAAAAAGAAGCAAAGTGAATGTAGCAAGAATTGAAAAAAGCAAAGTGACGGTGGCAAAAAGTTAAAAAGAAGCAAAGTGAAGGCGACAAGAATTGAAAAAGAAGCAAAGTGAAGGTGGCTAAAAGTTAAAAATAAGCAAAGTGAATGTGGCAAGAATTGAGAAAGAAGCAAAGTGAAGGTGGCAATAATTGAAAAATAAGCAAAGTGAAGGTGGCAAGAATTGAAAAAGAAGCAAAGTGAATGTGGCAAGAATTGAAAAAAGAAGCAAAGTGAATGTGGCAAGAATTGAAAAAAAGAAGCAAAGTGAATGTAGCAAGAATTGAAAAAAAGCAAAGTGACGGTGGCAAAAAGTTAAAAAGAAGCAAAGTGAAGGTGGCAATAATTGAAAAAGAAGCAAAATGAAGGTGGCAAGAATTGAAAAAGAAGGAAAGTGAATGTAGCAAGAATTGAAAAAAGCAAAGTGACGGTGGCAAAAAGTTAAAAAAGAAGCAAAGTGAAGGTGGCAAGAATTGAAAAGAAGCAAAATGAAGGTGGCAAGAATTGAAAAGAAGAAGCAAAGAAGGTGGCAAGAATTGAAAAAGAAGCAAAGTGAAGGTGGCAAGAATTGAAAAGAAGCAAAGTGAAGGTGGCAAGAATTGAAAAAAGAAGCAAAGTGAAGGTGGCAAAATTGAAAAAGAAGCAAAGTGAATGTGGCAAGAATTGAAAAAGAAAGAAAAAGTGAATGTAGCAAGAATTGAAAAAAGCAAAGTGACGGTGGCAAAAAGTTAAAAAGAAGCAAAGTGAAGGTGGCAATAATTGAAAAATAAGCAAAGTGAAGGTGGCAAGAATTAAAAAAGAAGCAAAGTGAAGGTGGCAAGAATTGAAAAAGAAGCAAAGTGAATGTGGCAAGAATTGAAAAAGAAGCAAAGTGAATGTGGCAAGAATTGAAAAAGAAGCAAAGTGAATGTAGCAAGAATTGAAAAAAGCAAAGTGACGGTGGCAAAAAGTTAAAAAGAAGCAAAGTGAAGGTGGCAATAATTGAAAAAGAAGCAAAATGAAGGTGGCAAGAATTGAAAAAGAAGCAAAGTGAATGTAGCAAGAATTGAAAAAAGCAAAGTGACGGTGGCAAAAAGTTAAAAAGAAGCAAAGTGAAGGTGGCAAGAATTGAAAAAAAGCAAAGTAAATGTGGCAAGTATTGAAAAAGAAGAAAAGTGTAGGTGGCAATAATTTAAAAAAAATCTAAGAGAAGGTGGCAAGTATTGAAAATGAAGCAACGTGAAGGTGGTGATAATTGAAAGAAAGCAAAGATATAATTGGAAGTATTGAAAAAGAAATCAAGATAAAGTGACAAATATTACAAAAGAAGGTGGTAAAGAATTGAAATAAAGCAACGTGAAGGCGGCAAGAATTGTAAAGATCAAAGAAAAGGTGTCAAGAATTGAAAAAGAAGAAAAGAGAACTAAAAAAACGAAATATGAGGTGGTAATAATTGAAAAAGACGCCAAGTGAAGTTGGGAATAATTTTAAAAAAAAAGAAGCTAAAAGAATTTGGCAGGAATTGAAAAAAAATCAAACAGAAGGTGGCAAGAAAAGGAAGCAACGTGAAAGTAGTGATAACCGAAAGTAAGCAAATATATAGTTGCAAGTATTTAAAAAGAAGCCAAGATAAAGCGGCAAGCATTAAAAAAGAAGCGAAAGAGAGGAAGGCAAGAATTAAAATAAAGTAACGCGGCAAGAATTGTAAAATTCACAGAGAAGATTGCAAGAATTGAAAAAGAATCTAAGTAAAGGTCGCAAGAATTGAAAAAAAAGAAGCACGGTAATGGTAGCAAGAATTGGAAAAGTAAAGGGATGGTAGCAAAAATTAAAAGAAGCAATATGGTGGCAGAAGGGAAACAGAAGGTGACAAGAATTGAAAAAGAAGCAAGTGGAAGTTGGCAAATACTGCAAAAGTATCAGAGAGGATTTCTCAAGAATTGAAAAACAAGCGAAAGAAACGATGAAAAGAATGAAAGAGGAGAAGCAGGCAAGAATTAAAAAGTAGCAAGAGAAGGTGGCAAGAAATGAAAGAAAAATGCAACACTAAGGTGGCAATAACTGAAACAAAAAACGCAAAGAGATGGTTGCAAGTATTGAAAAAAATCAAAAAGATGGTTGCAAGTATTGAAAAAGAAGCAAAAAGATGGTTGTAAGTATTGAAAAAAAAGCAAAGAGATGGTTGTAAGTATTCAAAAAGAAATAAACGTGAACGCAGCAAGAATTGAAAAAGAAGCAAACGTGGTAAGAATTGAAAAAGAACAAAGAGAATATGGCATTAATTGTAAATGAAGCAAAGAGAAGGTGGCAAGAATTGAAAAAGATTAACCAGGACGTGGCAAGAATAGAAAAAAGGTCAACGAGGATATGGCAAGATTGAAAAAGAAGTGATAAAGTAGCAAGTTTGAAAAAGAAGCAGAATAATGATGGCAAGAATTGAAAGACGGAAATAGAAGGTGGTGGTAGGAATTGATAAAGAAGCGAAAGTGAGGTTCCTATTAATTCTAAAAGAAGCTAAGAGATGTTGGCAAGAATTGAAAATGAAGCAAATAGGTGGAGGCAAAAAATGGAAATGTAGCAACTAGTATGTAGCAAGAATTGAACAACGAGCAAAGAGAAGGCGGTAAAATAAAATAAAAAGAAGCAAGAAACTGTTGGCAAAAAAAATGCGAAGGAACAGGTGGCAAGAAATGGAGAAAAAACACGGGAAAGAGTAAATAGCAGGAATTGAAAAAGAAGCAAAGAGAAGGTGGTAAGAATCGAAAAAGGAAAAAAATCGTTGGCGAATTGGAAATATGGAAAAAAAGGCGGCAGGAATTGAAATTAGCGAAAATGTAGGTGGCAAGAATTAAAAAAGAAACGAAAGAGAAGGCGGCAAAAACTGAAAAGTAGCAAAAGAGAATATGGCAAGAATTGAAATAGAACAAAGAAGAAAAGAAAAGGTGGCAAGAACTGAAAAAGAATCAGAGGGAAGTTATCAAGAATTGAAAAAGATGAAAAGAGAAGATAGATTCCATTGAAAGAGAAGGAAAAAGAATGTGGCAAGAATTGAAAAAGACGTAAAGACAAGGTGGTAAGGATTTGAAAAGAAGGAAATTAAATATACTAAGAATTGAAAAAAAGAAAGAAATGGCGGCCAAATTGAAACAGAAGCTACGAGAATGTGGCAGGAATTGAAAAAGAAGCCAAGAGAATGTGGCAAAATTGAAAAATAAACAACGAGAACGTGGCAAGATTTCAATGAGTATCAAATAGAATATGGCAAGAATTGAAAAAGAGGCAAAGAGGTGGCAATAATTGAAAAATATGAAAGCGAATGTTGCAAGAATTGAAAAAGCGAAAGGGAAAATTGCATGAACAGATAAAGAAGTAAGTAGAAGGTGTCAAGAATCAGAGAAAATGGAATGTAAAAGTGACAAGAATAGAGAGAGAAGCGAAATTGAAGATGGCAAGAACTGTGAAATAAGAAAAAAAACAATGTTGCATGAATTGAAAAAAGATTGAAAGAGATGGTGACAGGAATTGAAAAAGAAGAGTAGATGGCGGCAAATACTGGAAAAGATGGAGTGTAAATGGGGCAAGAATAGAATCAAAAGCGAAAATTGAGGTGGCAAGAATTGCTAAAAAGGAAAAAAAGAATGTGACAAGAATTGAAAACGAAGCAACAGACACGGTTGAAAGAAATGAAAAATAAGCAAAGAGAAGTCAAGGAAAATTGAGAAAGTAGCAAATAATAGTTGGCAAGAACTAAAAACGAATGAAAGAGAAGGTGGAAAGTGTTGAAACATTAGCAAAGGGAAGGAGGCAATAATTGAAAATGAATCAATGAGATGGAAGAAAGAATTGGAAAAGATGGAAATATGAGTGGCAAAAATTGAAAAAGAAACAAAGTAAGTGTGGCAAAAATTGAAAGAGAAGCAAAGAGATGCTTTTAAGAAATGAAACAGTAGCGAAAAAGAAGATGGCAAGATTTTAAAGAAAAGCAAATAGAAAGTGTCGAGTATTAAAAAAAAAAAAAAAGCAAAGAGAAGTAATCAAAAATTGAAGCAATGAGGTGATAGCAAGAATTGAAAAAGACGTAAAATAAAGAGAAGTCAACAATGATTTAAAAAAAGCAAAGTTGGTATTAATTGAAAATAAGTAAAGAGATGTTGGCAAGAAATTCAACACTAAATAAAAAGATGTTGGCAAGAATTAAAAACTAAACAAAGAAATGTTAGAAAGAATTGGAAAAAATGAAATTTATGAGTGACAAGAGTTGAAAAAAAGCAAAAAGTAAGTGGTCTGAATTTTTAAAAATCAAAGCAAAGTTGGTAATAATTGAAAAGAAGCAAAGATATAGATGCAAGTATTGAAAAAGAAGCAAAATGAATGTGAATCGAAAAAGTTGGCAAGAATTAAAAAAGTATCCACGAGAAAGTGGCAAATATTGAAAATGAAGTAAAAAAAAGGTGGCAAGAATTGAGAAAGAAGCAAAATAAAGGTTGCAAGAATTGAAAAAGAAGCAAAATGGAGGTTGCAAGAATTGAAAAAGAAGCACAATGAAGTTTGCAAGAATTGAAAAAGAAGCAAAATGAAGGTTGCATGAATTGAAAAAAGAAGCAAAATAAAGGTTGCATGAATTGAAAAAAGAAGCAAAATAAAGGTTGCATGAATTGAAAAAAGAAGCAAAATGGAGGTTGCAAGAATTGAAAAAGAAGCACAATGAAGTTTGCAAGAATTGAAAAAGAAGAAAAATGAAGTTTGCAAGAATTGAAAAAGAAGCAAAATGAAGGTTGCAAGAATTGAAAAACAAGCAAAATGAAGGTTGCAAGAATTGAAAAACAAGCAAAGTGAAGGTTGCAAGAATTGAAAAAGAAGCAAAATGAAGGTTGCATGAATTGAAAAAAGAAGCAAAATAAAGGTTGCATGAATTGAAAAAAGAAGCAAAATAAAGGTTGCATGAATTGAAAAAAGAAGCAAAATAAAGGTTGCATGAATTGAAAAAAGAAGCAAAATAAAGGTTGCATGAATTGAAAAAAGAAGCAAAATAAAGGTTGCATGAATTGAAAAAAGAAGCAAAATAAAGGTTGCATGAATTGAAAAAAGAAGCAAAATAAAGGTTGCATGAATTGAAAAAAGAAGCAAAATGAAGGTTGCAAGAATTGAAAAACAAGCAAAATGAAATTTGCAAGAATTGCAAAAGAAGCAAAATGAAGGTTGCAAGAATTGAAAAAGAAGCAAAATGAAGGTTGCAAGAATTGAAAAACAAGCAAAATGAAGTTTGCAAGAATTGCAAAAGAAGCAAAATGAAGGTTGCAAGAATTAAAAAAGAAGCAAAATGAAGGTTGCAAGAATTGAAAAACAAGCAAAATGAAGGTTGCAAGAATTGAAAAACAAGCAAAATGAAAGTAAATGTGGCAAGAATTGCAAAAGAAGCAAGGAGATGGTAGCCAGGACTAAAAAGGTTGCAAAGTGATGGTGGGAAAATTGGAAATGATTTAAAGAAAATGTGGCAAGTATTGAGAGAGAAGTGAAAATGAATGTGGCAAGGAATGAAAAAGAATCAATGTGATGTTGACAAGAATCAAAAAATAGGCAAAGGGAAAGTGGCAATTACTGAGATGAAGCGAAGGAGAAGCTATCAAGAATTAAAAAAGAAGCGAGTAGAAACTGGAAAAATAGAAAAATGAAACAACGAGAACGTCGTAAGCATTGAGAAAGAAAGCATGTGTAGGTGGCAATATTGAAAAAAAAAAGAAAAGAAAATTTGACAAGAATCGAAAATAACCGGAAGAGAAATTAGTAAGAAATACAAAGGAGCAACGAAAAATTGTCGCAACTGAAAAAGAAGCAACAAGAACGTGACAAAAAAATCAAAAAGAGGGTGGTAGGAATTGAAAAAAAAGCAAACTGAAGGTATCAAGAAATCAAAATGAAGCAAACTGAATGTATCAAGAATTCCAAATGAAGCAAACTGAATGTATCAAGAATTCCAAATGAAGCAAACTGAATGTATCAAGAATTCCAAATGAAGCAAACTGGAGGTATCAAGAATTCCAAATGAAGCAAACTGAAGGTATCAAGAAATCAAAATGAAGCAAAGTGAACGTGGCAAGAATTCAAAAAAAAAGGAAAGTAGACATAGCAAGAATTGAAAAGCAATCAATCACATGTTGTCAAGAACTGAAAAATAAGCAAAGAAATGGTGGTAAGTATTGAAAAGAAGTGAAAGAGAACGTGGCAAAAATTGAAAACAAAAAAGTGAATATGTCATGAATTGAAATAAAACAAAAATGGAAGTGTCAAGAAGTGAAAAGAAAGGAAAGAGAATGTGGTAAATATAGAAAATAAGTGAAAGAGGCTGTGGTAATAATTGTAAAAAAAAGGAAAAAGAATTTGCCATATATGAAAATTAAGCAATTGACATGGTGCAAGAAGAGAAAAAGAATCAAAAGGAAGTTGTCAAGACTTGGAAACGAAGTGGAGAAAAGGTGGCAAAAACTGAAAAAGAAGATGCAAAGAAAAGGTGGTAAAAATTAAGACAGAATTGAAAGAAAAGGTGGCAAGAATTGAGAGAGGGGTGAAAGAGAAATTGGCAAGAATTGAGAGAGGGGTGAAAGAGAAAGTGGCAAGAATTGAGAGAGGGGTGAAAGAGAAAGTGGCAAGAAGTGAGAGAGGGGTGAAAGAGAAAGTGGCAAGAAGTGAGAGAGGGGTGAAAGAGAAATTGGCAAGAATGAGAGAGGGGTGAAAGGGAAAGGGGAATTGAGAAGGGGGAAAGGGAAAGTGGCAAGAATTGAGAGAGGGGTGAAAGAGAAAGTGGCAAGAATTGAGAGAGGGTGAAAGAGAAAGTGGCAAGAAGTGAGAGAGGGTGAAAGAGAAAGTGGCAAGAATTGAGAGAGGGGTGAAAGGGAAAGTGGCAAGAAGTGAGAGAGGGGTGAAAAGGAAAGTGGCAAGAATTGAGAGAGGGGTGAAAGAGAAAGTGGCAAGAATTGAGAGAGGGGTGAAAGAGAAAGTGGCAAGAATTGAGAGAGGGGTGAAAGAGAAAGTGGCAAGAATTGAGAGAGGGGTGAAAGAGAAAGTGGCAAGAAGTGAGAGAGGGGTGAAAGGGAAAGTGGCAAGAATTGAGAGAGGGGTGAAAGAGAAAGTGGCAAGAATTGAGAGAGGGGTGAAAGAGAAAGTGGCAAGAATTGAGAGATGTGTGAAAAAGAAAGTGGCAAGAATTGAGAGATGGGTGAAAAAGTAAGTAACAAGAATTGAGAATGAGGTGAAAGAGAAAGTGGCAAGAATTGAGAAAGAAGTGAAAGAGAAGTGGCAAGAATTGAAAGAATATATGGTATGAATTGAAGATTATGTGCATGCAGACGTTAGATAGCGATTGATTTTTGATTGAAAAAGTTAAAATTCTTCTGTTCAATGAAGCATCTGCGCATTATCGAGTCTACAAATTACCAGATCTTGGGAAGAAGCCAAGCGGCAGTTTCTTTATATCTTTAAATTTCAAGGATTCATTACCGTGGATATGTTATGACGTGTCCGTGTTAGTACTCGTGGAACTAAAATTTGGTGTTCCTCTAGACATTTGCCCTGAACATTTTGATAGTGTCACGAAACTTTTGCGATGCTTGCTAGGAAATACCGCTAAGTTAAATATAAGGCTTCCTTCTTTAGACCAGGTAAACGTTTTTAAAATTCAAATATGATTAGTCGGGATAAAAAGCTCTAGTCGACATATGGCAGTAATACTCTCTGATTTGTTTACTATAACTCATGCAAAGGTAAATCATGGTAAACTTTTATGTAGCGTATTATTTCAAGACGTGGGCTATCATGGTTCTGCAAAACTTCCTGTCTATTGTTGCTCTAACTTTATTTTTATTCTTCGCCATCATTCCTTGTCCTTATTCTTCCATCTAATCCCAGAAACTCTTTCAATTTTCAATTTCTTTCTCCTTATCTTCACTTGAATATGTTTGTGTGTTAGTCTCCAGCACTCCTTCTCATTGTGTTTCCCTTATATATTTTCTCTTTCTGGTTTTAAATTTCACTTTTCTTGTAGTGTCTATTTTCCTTAATATTTAATTTTGGAATAATTCTAGCGTAAGGTAGATTTTCTATGTCTGATGCTTACGGCCATCATGCAGTAGGTGCAAGCATGTGCGTATTACGATGCACAATGTTACCTGCGTTGATCCGTTTCAATCTGAGCCTCCTGACCAGCAGAATCTGCGGAAAATATACATTGTGGTATCCTTGTGGACAAGATGACATCTCTATTAGTATAAAGCAATATTTTAGCTTTATTTTTTTTATTTGGCCTTTTATCATATTTAAGAAACGTTTCGTAATTAGACGAAACAAGATGAAAGATCTTATGCATACACGATTCCAGGTTCGATTTACCATTCAATGATGATGTACAGTGCATTAATATGGAGTCTGAGTTGAATCTTAACATATTTTCGAACATGTACACGTACTCATCTCTACGTACAATCATTTATTGTGATCCAAATACATTACGTGTACGATCCATAATTATTAAATTGAAATGCGAATTCATGTTGTTACAGTATTATTTATCATCTGTGTCTATGTTTTTGTACGCATGCGTAAACCTCAGGTCACAAAAGTAGGCCTTTACATTCAATCTCGGATATATTCACGTATGTTGATTAATGAGCTTATTAATGAACCCAGCTGATAGAAATGCGAATATCCATTGCGAACAGTTTTTTATTTGAACAAGATTCAATCCATACGAAATTGTTTAAAACGAATCGACGACAATAGTTGCTAGAGAAAAAGAGATTAATGAAATGATTTAATTATCATATACCCGAATATCCCCGCCAAATTTTTGACTTAATCCGAAGATGTTTAAACCTTCAATCTAAAAGATTTAACCTATTTTAATTCATAAGCAATAGACTGCTTTTTCTTCATACCAGTCTTACAGTTCCAATTATTTTTTTTTATATAGGATGGTGGCTAAAGAAGTTTCGGCGTGGCAAACTTCCTAAATTGCTACCAAATGAAAATGAAAAAAAAAACAAAACAAAAAAAACAGGCCCCAAAACATTGGATATTTTGCAAGATTGCTTCTTGGTTTGGCCGAGAAAGTTTCCGTATTCATATATAAAATAAACAAACATCTAACTGATGTACAATCTTAAGGTAACGTAGATTTTATAATGCAGTATTCAATATCTTTCAGACAGAACTATACATAGTAGTAATTTTCCCAGCGTAGCTTAGATGTGGCACAAGGCCGAAAGCATTAGGCACCCAGTGAGGACCGAATTCACTACTCAGGATGTTTGTCTCGCTAGGAAAATTATGACTAACCATTATACCCCCTCGAGGTGCCCTAGAACCACATATATTATAAATATTACGATTTGGGTGATCTTGTTAAAAACGTGCCGAGCATGCGCGTAGCTAAAATTTTCACGGTGATAGAGCGTATCGTCAGGCGCTTAAATTTAGTTACATTGTTAGCGCGTAAGGCCACTACATCTCTTTCTCGTCAGAGGAGTGAAGCTTATTGAGAAAAAAATATGTGAATTTTATTATAATTTCATTCAATGACTATTCAAGCGTTGTTTGCTTTTCGTGTGTGGCTGATTCTTTGATCCAATCCTCGGAGGAAATCCCGACCACGTGTTTAAATAGGCGCCAAAAATGGAACTGGCACATTTTAAGCTAGTACCAAACGTCCGACGCCTGAAGTTAATCAGTTCGATTGTTAGTGTGAACATTTAGTTACGCCTATGCTTGCCACGTTTTTAACACCATGCGAAAAACGTTATATTTAGACACACACACACACACAATGTGTGTGAGTATCCGCTTAAAATATTAACAAACAGGTGACTAGAGCTCTATTTACATTATTCGGACTATTTTTCTCATGTTTTTTTGCTATATTTATCACAACGTTTCGGCTGTTGTACGCTTCGGCCTTCTTCAGGCTGTCGAACTGAACCCTTTATCTACGCACCATTTATCTCCCGTTAATTCTCCTCTCCAAGTTCTCCACCGCCTTAACCAGGTATAACACTCTTTGGGTCCTGTCACTTGATCTAACTAACGCCTTTATCCACTGTGCCATGTGTCCATGAGGACATCTGTGTATGAATTTCTGGGTATTATAAACCTAATGTCTTCAGCATCCAGATTTACCAGTGCTCATATTGCAATTTTTGCTGTTGTCATTGAATTGTGAAACGTGATAAATATGGCAACAAAGATGAGGACAATAGTCCGAATAATGTAAATAATGTACATAATACCTCATCTCAGAAATATTGACAGGAGAGTTTCAACATTTTCGTCAGGCGCTGTATTTATTTATTTATTTCCTCCACTTTCTAAGCACATTCAGAATTATATTTTCTGTTAAAATGTTTAAAATATAAATATTAAGAACTCGTTTATATATATATATATGTATGTGTGGGGGTGTAGGTGTGTGTGTTTCCGTGGCTTCACCCCAAATTAATATCACCTATTTTATCATGTTGTCCTACGATTTTGATGGCTATTGCAGTAAGGTGCATTTGGGATATTCAAAGATGCCTTCGAAAAGATAAGCAAAATAATAAGAAATAGGAAAATTTAATCAGAAATGAGTAAAAGAGTACCCTAATGTGATGTAATATTGATACTAGTATATGTCATTGAATGCTGGACCATCTCATTACAGGTGCAGAAGAGATTTCTACGGAAGGAGGCGGAGAATATACCATGGCCTAAACACGTGAGAAACGATGAAGTTTGAAGAAAATCGAAACAAAAATATGTAGCATCAGAACATGACAAATAAAATTTCTAGGGCAAATGAAGAAAGGAAGATTGGGAAATTAAACACTCACGAGACATACTGAAGGTAAGAGAAACAGAGGAAAACGCCGCAAAATCTAAATAATGTGCTTGTATAAATTGCTGACTAATTGGGTACTAACAAGAAAATATTTTTTTTAATAATACCGTAATAAAACCATTGGTAAGGGGGAAAAGTTATTTTACCTCAAATCATGTAAAACTCCCCCAAATAAGGCCAACAAACTTCATCTCCGTTGTACGCAGAGGGCATGCCTACGTATATTGATAACAACAGACTTAAAATGTCGTTTGTGGACCGTCTGTTCACATTGCAATTCGGTATTGAAATGTGGAGAAGAACAGACTCAAACTCGACATTTTGGAGTCTGTTATTATCAACATACGTAGGCCGGCCCTCTGCGTACAACGGGAGATGAAGTTTGTTGGCCTTATTTGGGGAGCGGTTACATGATTTGAGGTAAAATAATACCCCCCTTACCATCTGGTTTTATTACGGTATTATTAAAAAAAAATTTCTTGTTAGTACTCCGTTTTAGATTACCGACGATTGTGTTTGAAAATGTGTCGGTCGAAAGGTACCTTACATTTTATGTTTTAAACGTGGATATTGTTGTATCTTATATATAACTTTACTAAAGGCTAAAAATGACGCGATGTTAGGCAGAGCCATGATTCCCATACCCTAAATGTAAATGGCACACAGATGAAGAAAAAGGGTTTTAAAGTAGTGCTTGATATGAAGAATGCTTATTCAAATACGAATATCCACTAAATATTCTTTTGAATAATAAAATCAATATACGGAGTTCGAGGAAATCTGTCAGAGTGAATTTGCAATATGGCAAATAGAACCTCGATCGAATATAAAGTTCTCTGATCGGTGAAATCACATCGGATCAGACCGTGGCTTTCCTGCAAAGTCAGGGCCCATGTTTGAATATTTCCGGAGGCCATATTTTCTTTGTTTTTCCGATTGCGCAGATCAGCAAACGAAATAAATAGTTTAGAAATAAATAAGTGTATGCAATAAATAAAAAAAAAACGTTTAAAAAATTAAAAAACACATTTATGTGTGATTTTATACATTTTAAAGATGCTTTTATTAACATTATCTATCAAAGTTTACATATGTGTATATTCGTGTTAACGTATGTATAGATTAACAGAGGTATGCATCCATATACCATTGCATACGCAATATTCATTGCCACTGATTTCAATATGATTAATTGGAAGGAGAAGCTTTCGTTCACATATGGAAGTAATACTCTATAGTTTGTTTAATATAACTCATGTAAAGATAAATCTTTATAAACTTTTATGAGCGTGTTATTTAAGACGTGGACTATCATGGTTCTTACATCTGCGTGTCTATTGTTGCTCTAAGTCTGTTTTTATTCTTCTATCACACAAACTCTGTTTCTTCCTAATTCGCTTGTCTTGAATATGTCGTGCGGTATCAATTCCAAAAATTAACAGATCTTGATAAGAAGGCAGGCGGCAATTTCTTTG